GACAATAAATGGCTTGAATACAGTTCTCTGAGTACTTTGTTCAATAGCGGTATCTATCTGCAAAATATTAGTGGAAATCATTATGAGACAGTTGTTTGTGTGAAGCAGCCTAACACACAAACATGTTATGGTTGTTGCATGAATACAGATGTTTCTGGGGGATATAAAACTCGGCAAGCTACAACCGAACCAAAAACTGCACATATAATGACAGTGAAAACTGAGAGTTCCATTGAAGACGAGTGCGTCAGTATTTTAGAAGATAACCAAAATACTTTACTATTTACTCCGCTTTCTGAAGTTACTGCTAAAACTCTATGTAAAAATTTTAAAATAGATTTTGAAGGACATAATTTCCAAAAAGTAATATTGTGTGGGCCTTTGGGAAATGTTTGTAAGACTAAAAATATTGTAAATGATGATAACAGTTTTTTCAGAGCTGTATCTTATGCAATTAGTGGTTCAGAGAAAAATCATCGTAAAATTAGACTTGCTGTTGTTTCACACTTTACCAACAATAGAGAAGAATACGAAAAAATTTTCACTAAAGATTTTGCTTCTGTGACAGAATATGTTAACCAGTCACAGATGAAGTACGTGGGTCACTGTGCTACAGAAATTGAATTTAAATCTGCTGCAAATATGTTAGGATTAGATTTACATGTATTTAATGGCACACAGTGGACCAAATATAATTCAAAGAGTAGACATTTGACCAATCAAGCTATATATTTGCAAAACTGTGATGGTCATTTTGATGACATTATTTGTGCAAAGCAGGGTGATAAAGACTCTTGCTTTGAACTTTGTGAAGATAGTTTGTCGTTAAAGACACAACACATGCGTACAAGATCTTCACAAGGTCAGAAAAATGCAAAGCAAACTTTTTTAAGTGTTAAAACTAATTCCAGGTTTTCTAAGTATTTAAGTCAAAAAAAGAATCGGATACAAGTCATTAAATATAGAACTCAAATGATACATTGGGAAAAAATGAAATCTAATCAAAGGAATTTGTATAAGAAAAATTTGCTGTACAAGGAACACAAAAAAAAATCGATGAGAAATAAATATCATGAAGATAAGACTTACCAAGTTAAGGTTAAGGAAATGAGCATTACAAAATATACTGAAGACGACTCTCACAGAGCAAAAGTTAAGAAAATGAGCATTACTAAATATAATGAAAACGACTCTCACAGAGAAAAAGTTAAGAAAATCAGCATTACTAAATATAATGAAAACGACTCTCACAGAGAAAAAGTTAAGAAAATCAGCATTACTAAATATAATGAAGACGACTCTCACAGAGAAAAAGTTAANCAGCTATTCATGAAATATAATAGTCAATGTCACTGGTATCTTAATAATTCAAATTTTGCTTTTATAGAGCGATGGAACTCCTGTGGCTTTGAGGGAATGTTTCATCAAATTAAATCCTGTCCGTTTCTCACCCGCTATCTTGGTTGCCATGGAAACAGTCTCTCCATCGGCTCTTCCAGATGTTCGCACAGGCACCGAGGTATTTTCCAGAATACTGCAATTACTAACATTCTTAGTATTTTTATTTATAAATAACACAAACCCTCAATGTTGTTTGCGGTGTTGCAGACAAAGCCTGTGGAACATAAAAAGAAACCAGCTCTCCCAAAGAGAAGCCGTTTGGCACGGGAGGTTTGTAAAAACATGAGTTAATTAATAATTTCTAGTACAGATTTTTTTTAATTTATTTAACTGTTCTTTTTGATTTTTCCTTTAGGCTTCAGTTCCCGCGCGTGTGATTCCTGCCAGGGGAGTTGAATGTGTGCCGCCTGAAGACACCGTTAGTGTTTTTCACATTAACGTTAAATCTCTAATTAATAATGTGTTTATTGAAAACATTTGACATAGTACCTTTGTTGATTTTGTGCAAAATCAGCTTAATATGTTTTTTGTGTCATTTATTTTCAGGTGGAGCCTGTTCTGCATTCTGCTGAGGTGTCTGACCATGCTGGTGTGGGGTGCGTCTGTGCGTTGGAGTTTTCTGCTGGCCAGCGGGTTTGTATAATGTGTTCTTCAGTCTCTATAAATAAATAAAATATGTTGTCTCAGTGTTGTTCTTTTTAGTCTATAATTTTCATAACATAATTACAATTTTCAAATTATTGACATTTCAAATGGTGTTGGGAGTTTATTTTATTCGTTTATAGTAACAATTTGGTATCTTTCCTGTTGTGAATACTGATTAATGGATCAGAGGAGGTGGTATTTTACTGTAAATGAGTGGTTCAGAGCACAAACAATGGTTTTAGCTCCTCTGCTAGTATGGATGTCACAGCCAAGAGTTACAGACTGTAGAATTTCCAAATGTTTCTTGAAAGGTTTTTTGACAATTCTCTTAGTAACACCATTGTAGTTTTAACATTAATAATTTAAAAGGAATTTAAATAGAACCTACTTTAATTTTTTTTATAAAAACAATTGCAGAAAGCAGTAAAAATAAATTTCTCTACAGCACGCTCTGATGGTTTCACAGAAAATATAGCAGGCTACTTAATGGGAATCCACAATTATGCAAAAGAACAAGTTCAAAATGAATTTACTTAATTTTTAACATTTAGTGTAACAATTCAGAGCAAAAATAATTTGGTTTGTTTTTCTCCTGGCATGGATATTTATAGTGAAAGTAACATTGAATTCAGCATCCTTTGAGTAACTTATACAAAAGGAACTCTAGTGGGGTAGCATGTGTAATGTTGCTAAATGAGTTTCAGTATTATAAAAAATCTCATATTAGATTTGTAATATATTTGGAAGAGAACCAGACTGCTTACAAAATGAGGATGTAGAAATGTCATGTTTTTCCACATTTTCACTCTAGATGCCTGAGATGGGTGATTTACAGCGCACAAATACTCCACCCAAAGGTCAGGCTGCTAACCCTGTTGTTTGCAGGTGCTCAGAGGGCTTTCCACCGTCTCTTATCCCAGGCACATATATTGGTAGTTATCAGTCTAGCTCTGATGCCATGATGTCATGTTGTATTACAGCAGCCATAAAACACCACATTTCTCCCATTTGTACCTGGAAGACTGCAAATGTAGATGAAGTCCGTGTACAAGGTCAGAAGTTGGCAGGATATATTGTGCGAAAAAGATCAGACAGAGGTCCAAAACCAGAGTTGTGCAAGTTGGTTAAAGATCAGACCATTTTTGGTAGAAATTGGGATGTACGAACTGGAAATACGGTCCGTGGTACATTTGATCTCAACCAGGAGGGGGAACTGTATGAGCGGTTGCAAATGTATTTACTGAGAAACGGAATGTGCATCTTTGCCCTGCCTGATACAACCACCTTGGTCATCCAGCATGGAGAGTACTTTGCTCTTGTGGATTTTGGGACACGGAATTCAGAGGGTTTAGCGTCACAATCTGGTACGCCCGTCGTCGTATTTAACACGTGTTTAAATGATTTAATGGTTCACTTGAACAAACTTAGGGAATCATTAAATGCAACCGAGTATAAACTCTGCGGCATTTCTGTCGAAGAAATGTCCAGTAATACGGACACATCCGGAGCACTGACTGAGGACACGCATGCCACAGATGCAAGCCAAGCTTTCAGTAGCCATGTTGCATCAGTCAGTGGGTCATTTCATCAGGGCGATCCTCGTTTTACATATGGTGGACTACAGTGTGCAGCCATTAGTATTGTTGCTTTAACAAAGCACAAACTGAAAAGCATTTGTTCGTGGAATGGTGACATATTGGACAATGTAGTGACTGTAGGTGATGAGCTGTACACATCTTTGCATGACAGCAATTTAATCAGTAGTGGACATGAGCTTCTTTCTATTCCAGACTTGCCTAAAAATATTCATGTTGATGGACAGCATTTTGAATGTTTTTATGGAGATTATGTTTCTGGAGATGTTGATATAGTGGAAGGACAGTTAATCGAGGAGGGTGTGCTTACTACTCTCTGGGATGGATTGAGGAAGATCTGTGGTAAGTATGAAACCTGCTTTATGACACTTTGTGGAAGTACCTGCGCCCTCATCCGACATAATCGACGTTTTGCTCTTGTAGACTCTCATGCAAGAAACCAACACGGGATGATGGATGCAAATGGAAAGAGCGTTCTTCTCCACTTTAATTCTCTTGATGATGTCTTTGCACATCTTACAATGTTTTCTGGTGAACTGAATCTCTGTCCCAGGCGATTTGAGATCAGTGGAGTTGAAATAGTTCACATTGACTCAAGTAGCAGCACATGTAAAGATGTAGCTGCTGTGCCAAGTAGCAGTGCTCCTTTTGAACAGAGCAATGTTGATATGCAGGATGATTCTTATGGAGAACATCCATTTGATCTTCAAACATCAAACAGGGATGATAGTGATGATGATGTGGTTGTTACTCATGTGCAAAATAAGGAATTGTATTTTAACCCTCTCTCAGAAGACATTGCACGGTCACTTTGTGGAAAGTTGAATGTTGAGTTTGAACGGGCAAATTATAAATCTTGTATGGTTGGTGAACTCGGTCTACCATGTGCGACAGAAAACATCGTGGGCGATGGAAACTGCTTTTTTAGAGCACTTAGTCAAGCCATCAGTGGAAATCAGAAATCTCATCGTAAAATTAGGCTTGCTGTTGTAAATCAGTTACAAAGAAATTCTCACTTGTATGATAGTATTTTGAGAAGTGAGTATTCCTCCATCTCACAATATATTGCCATTTCTAGAATGAATTATGTTGGTGCGTGGGCGACTGAATTGGAAATTCAAGCTGCAGCTGATTATTTTGGTGTAAATATTTTCACATTTTTCAATGATAAATGGCTTGAATACAGTTCTCAGAGCAGTTTCTCTAATCACGGTATGTATTTGCAAAACATTAGTGGAAATCATTATGAGACGGTTGTTTGTGTTAAGCTGCCTAACTCACAAACATGTTATAATTATTGCATGAATACAGTTTTTTCAGGGGGACATAAAACTCGGCCATCTACAACAGAACCAAAAACTGCGCAGATAATGACGGTGAAAACTGAGAGTTCCATTGAAGACGAGTCTGTCGGTATTTTACAAGATAACGAAAATACTTTACTGTTTACTCCCCTTTCTGAACTTAATGCTAAAACTCTTTGTAACAACTTAAAAATCGACTTTGAAGAACATAGTTTCCAAAAAGTAATTTTGCGTGGTCCTTTGGGAAATGTGTGTAAGATTAAAAATATTGTAAATGACGGTAACAGTTTTTTCAGAGCTGTAGCCTATGCACTTAGTGGTTCTGAGAAAAATCACCGTAAAATTAGACTTGCTGTTGTTTCACACATGACCAATAATAGAGAAGAATGCGAAAAATTGTTAACTAAAGATTTTGCTTCTGTGACAAAATACGTTAACCAGTCACAGATTAAGTATGTGGGTCACTGTGCTACGGAAATTGAGTTTAAATCTGCCGCTAATATGTTAGGATTGGATATATATGTATTTAACAGCACACAGTGGACCAAATATAATTCAAACAGTAGACATTTGACCAATGAAGCTATATATTTGCAGAACTGTGACAATCATTTTGATGCCGTTATTTGTGCAAAGCAGGGTGATAAAGACTCTTGCTTTGAATTTTGTGAAGATAATTTGTCGTTAAAGACACAACCCATCCGTACAAGGTCTTCACAAGGTCAGGAAAATGCAAAGCAAACTGTTTTAAGCGGTAAAGCTAATCCCAGGTTTTCGATGTATTTAAGACAAAAAAAGAATCAGAGACAAGTTCTTAAATATAGAACTCAAATGATACATAGGCAAAAATTGAAATCTAATCAAAAGAAATTGTATAAGAAAAATTTGCTATATAAGGAACGAAAAAAAAATTGGAGGAGAAATAAATATCGTAAAGATGAAACTTACCAAGTAAAGATTAAGCAAATGAGCATAGCTAAATATAATGATGACGAATGTCATAGAGAAAAAGTTAAGCAAATGAGCATAGCTAAATATAATGACGACGAATGTCATAGAGAAAAAGTTAAGCAAATAAGCATTACAAAATATAATGAAGATGAATATCACAGAGAAAAAGTTAAACAGTTAAGTAGAAAACAATATCTTAATCCACAACATAAGAGAAACATAATATCAAATGTAGAGCTAAAAAGACGGGAGATTAAAACAAAGTCAAAAGAGTTTGATTTTGTTGTTCAGCAATTTTTGGACAAAGTAAAAGAGGGGCCCAATTTTGTGTGTTGCGTGTGCTTTCGGTTGTTATTTAAACATCAGGTTTTGAATTGTTGTAAAGAGTCCTACAGGAAAACTAAAGCAAAGTCCTTCATTGCAGATAAATGTATAAGTGATGATTATGTGCATAGATGTAGCAACATGTGCATATCGCCATGTAATCTCAAAACCTGTCGAAATAAGTTATATATCTGCTATTGTTGTCATCATAAAATTAATAGAGGTGAAATGCCCCCAGAAAGTTCATGTAATAATTTAACACTTGATCCCATCCCACCTCAGTTGGCATGCTTGAATACTTTAGAACAACATTTAATAGCTTTGCATATACCATTTATGAAGATGTTAGCGTTGCCAAAAGGTGGGCAAAATGGAGTTCATGGTCCTGTTACTTGTGTCCCTGCAAATATTGTTGAAACATGCAGTTTGCTACCTCGTAGTAATATGGAGGGATCTTTGTTACCTGTTAAGTTAAAGCGGAAATTGACATACAAAGGTCATTATGATTACCAGTATGTTGACACAATGCATGTCCAAGAAGCTCTTTGGTACTTGAAACATTGTAACTTCTTTTATAAAGATGTAGAGTTCAATGAATCTTGGATCAATGAGTTTTCTCTGGAAGATAACGGTTTGATTCAAAAGAATGATGGTTGTAAAGAAGATCAAGACATGTCAATAGATGATAATGATGATGACCTTTTACATGACAGACAGACGCACTGTATGTTCCAGGACACTTGTCTCATGCCGGTCGATATTGGACAAGAAGCCTTGGATGTATATGTTGATAATGTTTTGAATGTAGCGCCAGGTGAAAATAATAACCCTATAAAACTTCTTTCTGATTCTACCAATGAAGCAAAATGTTTCCCTGTATTGTTCCCATCAGGTTTAAACACATACCATGAGAAGCGACAATATCGTTTGACTTTGAGTCGTTATTTTAATAATAGACTTCTTCATGCTGATGGTAGATTTGCGCGTAATGTCGAATATATATTCTTTGCACAGTACATGTCAGAACTGGAACAGGTTGTTTCTAAAGTGTCAATAGCTTTACGTAAAGGCACAAGTTGTACATCTCAAAATATGACTGAGGTTTTGAAGGATGAAAACTCTTTAAATAAGTTGTTGGAATTTGATGAAGGATATCGCTTCTTGAAACCCATTCGAGGCACACCTGCTTTCTGGCAGTCCGCTCAACGCGACTTGCTAGCTTGTGTTAGAATGTTGGGAAAACCCACATGGTTTGCCTCATTTTCGTCTGCTGATATGAGATGGAAAAATCTACTTTATAGCATTTTAAAGCAGGAAGGACGAACGCAGACTTTGGAACAGTTGCAGTGGGCAGATAAGTGTGAACTGCTGCGTCGAAACCCTGTTACTGCTGCCAGAATGTTTGATTTTAGATGGCATGTTTTTGTAAAAGAAGTTTTAATGTCTCCTGCAAATCCGATTGGAAAAATTGAAGATTACTATTATCGTGTAGAATTTCAGCAGCGTGGTTCTCCCCATTGTCATTGTCTTTTTTGGATTTCTGGGGCTCCAGTTTTGGATAAGAATACGGATGAAGAGGTTATTGCATTTATTGACAAATATGTGACATGTGAAATTCCATTGGAAGAAGACTCGTTGTTTGAAGTAGTCTCATCTGTACAGCAGCATTCAAAACGACATTCAAAAACTTGTAAAAAGAAAAAAACTGTCTGTCGTTTTAATTTCCCACGGCCTGCATCTTGCCGAACCTTTATTTGTCGCGGTGAGAAATATCATGATCCAGTAAAGACTTGCAAATGTAATTTGGATAAAATTGATGATAAAGTAGATTGTTTATGTCTTGGTAAGGACAAGAAAAGTTGGGAACAAATAGAGAGAGATAGAGCAACTGATATTTTAACAAATGTCAAGAATGCCATCTCGGATGAGAACTGTCCATATAGTACAGTTGAAGCAATGTTTCAAGCTTTGGGGATAAGTCAAGATTTATTTGAAATGGCATATAAGCGATCCAGTAGGAATACTAATGTTGTGTTGAAAAGACAAATTAATGAACTCTGGATTAATCAATATAGCAGGCCGCTGTTAAAAGCTTGGAATGCAAATATTGATATCCAGTATTGCGTTGATGCTTATGCTTGTTGTGTTTATATAGTGTCTTACATGTCCAAAAGTGAGCGTGAAATTGGCCTTCTGTTGGGAAATGCACAAAGAGAAGCAGCCAAAGATGGAAATGTTAGTGCTAAAGACGCTTTAAAGAAACTTGGTAGCGTGTATTTACATAATCGGGATGTTTGTGCACAGGAAGCCGTGTACCGACTAACTAACATGCATTTAAAGGAGTGTTCTCGGAAAGTTGTTTTTGTTCCTACAGGCGATAATATCACTAAAATGAGTTTACCGATTTCTATTTTGAGAGAAAAAGCTGCATCACAGGATCTCACTCCAGAAGACATGTTTATGACCGGTATAGTTGACCGCTATAAGAATAGGCCGAATGATGATGTCTTTAGTGATATGTGCCTGGCTAAGTTTGTTTCAGAGTATCGTGTTTTGTACAAAAATGAGAAATGTAGAAATGCAGTAAAGTTGAATAAGGATTTTGGGTTTGTTGCCAAAAGAACTCGGACAAAACCAGCAGTTGTTCGATATGCACGTTTCTCTGAAACAAAACAGCCAGAAAAGTTTTATCAAAGCATAATGCAGCTATTTCTGCCTTATCGCTTTGATATTGAACTTAAACCTGCACGTTTTGAAACCTATGGTGACTTTTACATGACTGGTGTGATTGGATTTGTTGATGGAACAAAACATTCTGTAAAGTTTGTAGTAGATTTAAATAGGAGTGAATTTGAGTTGGAATCTGATCATTTTGAAGCTGTGGACAATGTTACTGCTGATGCAATGTTGGAGGATGGATGGGCTGAGTTGTGTTCAGAGGTTGAATTGGAACGCTTGGAGTGTGTTGAATTACGAAAAGAAACACCAATAGAAAATGAAGCTCAGGAACATATTCCTGATTTAAGTTCTAACTGTAAAGAAATTTCAGTATTTGAGAAAAAACAAATTAGTAGATCTGAAGGCCTTACATTGATCAGATCTTTGAATGAAAAACAGTTTTCTGTTTTTTATCAAATCCGGCAGTGGTGTTTAGACAAAGTTAATGGAAAAAATCCAGAACCACTGCACATATTTGTAACCGGTGGAGCTGGTACTGGGAAAAGTCATCTAATCAAAGCAATTGAATATGAATCAAAACGGTTATTGTCCACTATTTGTAAGTTTCCTGATAACATATGCGTCTTACTCACAGCTCCCACAGGCATTGCGGCGTATAATTTAGAAGCGACAACAATCCATACAACTTTTTCCATTGGAAAGGATGTACGGCTCCCCTATACTCCTTTGGGTGAAGATAAAATAAATTCATTGCGTGTGAAATATTGTGATCTGCAGCTTCTTATTATAGATGAAATATCAATGGTTGATCACAACCTGTTATCATATGTTAACGGTCGTTTGCGTCAGATTAAACAAACCACAAACGTATATGGGGGCATCAGTGTAATTACTGTAGGTGATATGAACCAGCTCCCTCCCGTTAAAGGGAAGCCGATATACTCTGAGGGTGTTGCCACAAATATATGGTCAGAGTTATTTCAAATTATAGAATTAACAGAAATTGTTAGGCAAAAAGATGCTGTGTTTTCTCAACTGCTTAACAGGATGAGAACTCGTTCCAAAAGCACACCAATGCTGGCCGATGATATCAAAATTTTAAAAAGTTGTGAAACGGGTGAGGTTAGCTCAGCCTTGCATATCTTTGCGACTAATAACCAAGTAAATGAGCACAATTTTAATCATTTATGTCATACTTGTCCTGATTTTTTAAGGATTCGGGCACAAGATTATGCAAATGATAAAAAAACAGGAAAACTTCGGTTGTTAGAAGGGAGTCATTCCAAAGCTTCAAACACTTCTTTATCAGAAGTGTTGTTGTTGGGTAAAGGTGCACGTGTTATGCTGTGTAAAAACGTTGACATTAGCGATGGTCTTGTTAATGGTGTTGTTGGGACTGTTACAGAAATATTAATACCTGAAAAGGACAAGTTTCCTAAATTTGTCTATGTTAAATTTGATGATGATCGTGTAGGCATGAAAAAGAGGAAGAGCTGTCTCAACTCATCATCAGATTTAGCAGAATCCACACCGATTGAACCTGAGGAAGAGCGCGCAACTTTGAAGGGTGGACTCAGGAGACAGTTCCCACTTAAGTTAGCATGGGCGTGTACTGTACATAAAGTTCAAGGATTAACTGTTGATGAAGCTGTGGTGTCTTTTAGTAAAATATTTTCACCGGGACAAGCTTATGTTGCTGTAAGTCGCGTTAGAAGTCTTTTAGGTTTGACGATTCAAGATTTTGATGAAAAAAAGATATATTGTAAGGATGACATTGCTGTTGCTCTTCAGAGTATGACGCCTCTTTCGAGTGGATCTTTTCAGTTGGATCGATTTAACACATCTCTTTTTACTGTATTCTTGATAAATGTTCAAAGTTTAAATCGGCATGTAAAAGATTTGGCCTGCTTTACAGAAAAGTGGAAACCTAAATGCGTTGCTGTCACAGAAACATGGTTGTCTTCAACCCAAACGGATACAGTAATGATAGATGGTTATAGTTTTTCCAACCGACCACGAAATTTATCGTATACCAGAAGGCATCCAGAATTGATTGCGTTGCAAGACCAACAACATGGTGGTGTTGGCATCTATTCTGCTCATGATTTGGACTTTGAAATTTTACAACAACCAGAGCTTAATTTGGAATGTTTGGTCTATCGGTTTTGTAGTTTTAACATGGTCCTTGGGGTAATTTACCGACCACCATTATATCCTTTGTCACTATTTAAGAAAAATTTAGGAAAGTTATTGGATTGGCTTGAGACACAAAATGACACGATAGCACTGATTGGAGATTTTAATGATGATATTTTTAAGTCATCAAGTATATCAAAATTTGTTTCTGATAAAGGATACCTACAAATGGTTGAAGAAGCAACCACTGAAAAAGGCACTTTGATAGATCATGTTTATATTAAATCTCAGATATATGAAGTTGAGGCAGTAGTTGTGCCAACATATTTCAGTGATCATGAGGGCATAATGTGTGGTTTTAAATTGTAATCATTTTAATAATCTGGGGGTTTAATGTGTGGTTTTAAGCTGCTTTAATCATGTGACATTATGAACATTAAAAAAGGTTTTCTTTGCTTTATTCCAATGAATGAGAAGATAAGACTTAAAATTTCAATTAAATGTATTTGATTATCTCACATCTTCTTCATAAACCAAATAAAATCACTTATTAGTGAAACATTTCTATTCCAATTTATAGTTGCCAATGCAATTTTATGTGAAAAGTGAACAAAACCTTTTTAGTTATAAAAATTAATTGATATTTAATGACTTAGGAAATATCAATTCACTTTAGGGGTTTCGTTTCTTGCATTAAGACAGCATTTT